CATCACAAACCAGCATGGAGCACTAATTTTGAATTAGATGCAAGTAAAAACAAACCAAAAACCCTAAGATCACACACATTTCACGTCTCTTTGTAAAGTGTGAGATCTACTTGTGAGTGCAATTTTTGTATTTTTCTAAGGCATGGGCTTCCAGAAATCCCTTCAATGGATCTATTAGAACCTTTTTCAATCAATCCGAGGGCTCCAACTACAACTGGAATTATTGATGTCTTCATGTATCCTATTTTTTAGATGTTCACCTCAAGATCCTTGTATTTTGATAGTTTTTTTTTTTTCAAGATCTTCAGAGATACATTACAATCTGCAGGGACTGCCGTGTCAATAAGAAAGCACTTTCTGTGGTCTTTGATTACGATGTCTGGGAGATTAGATTTGATTGTTCTGGCTGTATGTAAAGTCCCATAGAATTGTTACAGGTCCTATCTCTGTAACCGAGTCTGGTTGATGTTCATACCAGTTTCTTACCTTCCCGTAAAAGTTGTATATTTTCTAGTGCAGATATTGGTTCACTTTTATATTCAGTGGGTGCCAATTTGTGCAACCTTATAGAAGATGGTCAATTTTTCTGGATATTAATCACAAAATCTGCATTTCGGGTTAACACAATTTTTCAGTATGTGTGCGCGGAAATTTCTAGTTAGCAAGCATTTATCCTGTGCAACAAAAAATTATTATTATTATTATTATTTATTATTATTTAAATTTGATTCATTCTTTTGATCTTATTTAAACCTTGAAATATTCATCCCGCGTTTCTTAAATCGAATATTACATGCTTGTAGACGCACGATAATTATAGAGGAAACCCTTTAATAATTTTTCTACATTTATCTTGACAATTGAGGTGTACTTCTTGAAAGGAAGAATGCGTAGAAAAATGGAGAGAAAAAACGGCAATGTTTAACCTTCGTGCCTGCGCAAAAGCGGCTTGTCAAAAAGATGGTTATTCCCTTGACACCGCTATTAGTCTATACACTTTTGACTCAGCAATGTTTATTGTTTTAAAAAACCGAAATAGATAATATATATTCATTCAAATTTTCTTGTTTTATAGTTCATTGATATTTTTATAAGATTATGAAAAATAATCATAAAATGGTAAATAATAAATATATCATTGTACTTGGTTCACATATTTTTATAATCTCGTAAATAAATATTGCTGAGGTAGTCAAAAGTCTATAGTGATTTTCCAAGCGTAGCTTAGATGTCTGGTCCCGACAACTCTCTTATATCCGGGTTACACTGTACTATTAAGGAGAGAGGACAATAAAAGAACAAAAATTAAGAAGAGAGAAGATAATAATTGATATTACCTTTGTTTTTGAATATCAAATTTGACAGGGAACCTAGAAGCCGGAAAATAGTTCCACAAGCGAGAAGTGCGATAGAAGAAACTGTTAGCATAGAACTTACGGCTACATCTGGTCATTTCAACTGTAAAATGAAACTTTTTTTTTTGTTATAGATATATAATCATTTCACCTCAAGCAAGGTGATAATGCCACTAAGACGCAAGCGATTATTGGTAATGAAAGAGAACGAGAAGAGTAAAGGGAAAAGACAATAAAAGAAGAGGATTACGGAAGATAGAAGAACGAGAATACTTTAGTGAAGGGAAAAGGCAATAAAAGAACAGGGTTCAAGAAGACAGAAGATCGTTTGAGATAATTTTTTTTAAAATTAAATATCAACAATTGAGAAAGATATTTTTATGCGTCAAGAAAGGTGATGGATCCTGCTGAAAAATGGAATTTTTAAGGTTTTCAGTAGTTTTATAAATAAAACGGGGAAGGATTTATTTTCCAGATGACATACTTTGAATGGCACTAAAATGAGTGACTTCCCACAGATAAGACGATTAGCAAAGTAGATGGGGGGGGGATATCGAGTCAAAGGAAATTGTTATAACTAAATTCTGTTACTGGAACTTTGATCTGTAATCTGTGAACTATTTTTTCGGATGAGATAGTTTTATTACTGCTTTTAGTCTAAAAAAAAAGTAGCAATAATTTTATAGCATTTTTAAGTGACGAGTTTCAACCCTTCTTAGTTTCACAGTCGACAATACTGAAGATTTCGAGGCCTTTTTTTTTGTTTAATTCTCAGCATACAACTCTCCTGATTTCAAAAGCCTTTATATATATATATATATATATATATATATATATATATATATATATAATACAATACATCTAAAATACATTCACTTTACCCATTTTTTTAAAACGCTTTCTTTCTTCTAGATGACTTGAAGTTGATAAGCGAGGAATCAAAGAAAAATATCTTGTCAATCTGCCAGGTCTATCTGGGAGCAGTAGTTCAGTTTCACTTGAGTTGGTTGATAGCCTGGGAAGATTATGCTGAGTTGGCACCTCATTACTAAGTTCTTAGAAATGGTAACGCTTCAGAGACTGCAGATAATAGCGTACTGTGTAAATTATGCTAGCTTTGAGGCAGGTAGAAGAATAATTTTTCTCTCTTTATTTCCTTTTCTTCCTGTCGTTACTTTCTTTGAACAATTTCTCTTCCTCTCCCTACTTTTACCCTTTTCTTTGCTTCTCCTTTTTGCCTTCTTTCTTTTTTGGTCGTATTTTCTTTTATTCCATGTTGTCTTTCTTCTAAATATATTAAAAAAGGATAAGGATTAAAAAAAGACGTTGTGTCAAAAGGACGTTTTTTTTCCTTGACACCTCTATCATTTTAATTATCTTCACTCATCGGCAGTAATTATTGTTTTAAAAAGTGATGATTTAAATTGTAATAAAACTTAAACATGAAAGTGAATGTATACATTGTAGCATGGATTATCGCCCCTTATACGTATTCTGTATTAAAATAAGTTCAGCTCGGACACACTCTATTCAAGTCAAATAAAGTTTCAGATAAGTTATACCTGCGTTCGTCCTTTCTGTACATGCATTTTCTTTGTTTTTGAGAATTGACAACAAAAATAATAAACATTATTTATTTATTAGACTTTTTTTTTTAATAAGAATGGTTACAAAACATCATCTAATTGCCAAATGATTCAAACTTTATAAAATGGTAAATAATAATAATCTACTTGTGATTGGTTCCCATATTCTAATAATTAGCAAATGGTTATAAATTTATGAATAAAAAATTGTTTAAATATTTATTTCTTTTTAAATTGGTAAATGATAAATATTGCATTGCATTAGTTCTAATTGTATTAGTTTTTAGAATGTTGTGAATATAAAATTATTTCTTGTAAATTATATTTTAGAATATTAAAACCTTTGTTGCTATTCTCAAGGAAATGTCATATTCACGTTGAGAAAATGTTTATGTATTTTTCAAAAAACCAAAGCTTAGAATTCGTTGAGAAAAAGCGAGACAAGCAAAAGATTCTCAATAAAAAGAGAAAAAGTCTTTGCAAACAATTAAAATTTCATGTCCGATAACTGCCACCTTTAAACCGTGTATCAAAAAGATTGTTTTCTCCTTGACGCCGCTATTATTTAACTCCCTTTAACTCTTCAGTAAAGTTTATTCTTCTAAAAAACGATTATTAGAATTGTAATAAAAAACTAAACATATGAAAGTAAATTTATACTTTTTTTCTTCGGAATTTATAATAAAAATATTAAAGACTATTTATTTATTAGATTGTTTATTTACAAGAATAATTTTATATTTATAAGATACTAAAAACTAATACAATTAGAATTAATGAAATACAATATTTATCATTTAAAGTTACAGCTTCTCTCTTAACAATAATTCTCAAACATTTTCTCTCTTCTTTCCATTACTAATTAATCTCTCTTTACTACATTTCTTTCCTCTTCTTTCAATACAAATGCTTAATCTTTTTTATACTCAAACTTCTCTTCCCTCTATACATTTTCCTTTTCTCACCTTACATATAATTCTCTTTTAACTCCTCTTCTCTCTAGAACAGAAATATTCTTTATTCCATATTCTGATCTTCTCGATATACATAATATTTCCTGATCCTTTCTCTCTTTAAAATTTTCAAAGATTTTTGTTCCTCTTCCTCTTTTTTTTCTTTAGTCTCCATAGAAGTGCATTTTTTTAAATTTCCCTTTTCTTTTTCCATTCTCATTTTTTCTCTTTTCTCTTTATCAATCTATTGCTTCTTCTTTGGGTCCATTTATCTTTCTCTCTTTTTGAAAAGTCAATCTTTATTTTCTTTTCTAAGAACGCCCTCTATTTTTTCTATGTTTTTTACTTTAAATCCTTTTTCTCTTTAAATTTTCCCCTTTTATTCTTTCTAATATTTGCTTTTTTTCTTTTTTTTTTCACTTGCTCTATACATCTTTTTTCACTTTTTCTTTTTTCATCAGACTTCCTCTATTGATCTTTTTTTTCTTCTCTTTTACTTTCTATCTCTCTATTTCCATATTCTTTTTCTTTTTTATTCTTTTCTCCCTTTCATTGATACATATCTTTCTAAGTCATTCTTTTTATTTTCTTTTTTAATTCTAAAATTCATTCTCTAATTTTGTCTCCATTTCTCTCTTCATACCTTTTTCACCTTTCATAGTTTTTCTCAATCTAATTTCTTTTTTATCCGTTTCTGATTGTGAACTTCTTCCCCCATAGTTCGGGATCTCAATTTATCTTTCCTCTCTCTCATTTTTTGTCTCTCTTTCCATAATCTTTCTTTCTCTTTTCTTTCTTTTCTCCCTTTTTTTCGATTTTTTAATACTTTTTCCCATCTTTCTTACAGTCGCTGTCTAATCAACAGACATCCTCTTCATCTGAGGAAATTATTTATTCTATCTCTACATTGGTTTATTTTCTCTTCTCTTAAGATTTTTGTATATCCTTTGAATCCATATCTCAAGCCTTCAACTTATATCCCTTCTCTCTTTACACTTCTTTTCCTTTCATCACTCTACATATCTTTCCCTCTCTCTCTTTTTCCTTCGCCCTTTCTCATTATGCATCGACATAAATATTTTTCCTCACTTTCTCTCTCTCTCTAAATGCCTTTCACTCTCTTTTTTTCCTTCTCCCTTTCCCTGTATTTTTGTCCAATTTTCAATATATAATAAGAAAACAACTATTTTCCTTTGATTATAATCCTCCTCCTTTTAGTCATTTTCTTTAAGATATATTTCCCTCTCTTCTTTTTTTAAGTAACCTAATTATGTACTTTAATCGTTTTTTTGCATTATAGATTTACAATTCAACTAGAAAACCTTTGCAACTTTAAATACATATTTCAAATCTCACTTTAATCTTTTCATTGTATATTTCTTTCTTTATCAAATAAATCAACAATTTTTCCCAACTTCTTATTTTTTGTTAAAAAGTTTTCCATTTTAATTTTCCTTTTAAGACTTTCCTGTTTTCAAACAATTTCACGTAACAAAAAAAAACAGAATGACGGGATAAAATATACAACGAAACTTTTCATCCTTTAATAATAGTCTTTTGTACTTTTTAATTTATGAAAAAAGTACGCTTCATTGTGGGCTTTAAAAAGTTTATTCAACTGAGAATCATCAAGTCGTTCTGACCTTTATAGTCCTTTGCCAAAAATTCTCTTCAAACGCAGGCATACCAAAATAAGTTCAAAGGTTAATTTGTAATTGTTTAAAGACATCTCGAATTCAAAAAGCTGCAATTCTTATAAGATAGCGAGACGCACAAAACACGCACTCGTTCAGGCCTTGTATCAAAGATCAATGAAGTCAATTTTTTTCGCGCGGAGAGCGGGGTTAACTTTTCCTCTCTTTGGTTGCAGTCTTTATCTTTATCAATGACAGGAAATCGAATTAAAAAATTAAAAAAAAAATATTTGATTTGCTAATTATTCCAAATCCTATGAACAGAAAAAGTGCTGTCGGTGATGGTGATTACGAGGTCATCTAATGCAACAATCAAAACGGAACTGAAATTTCGCTGACGATAAAAATCTTTTTTTTTTTTTTCTTCTGACAACCAACTTGCACTTCTTTATACTGAGTTGTGTCTGTTGGAAAACATAGTTTTTCAACAAATTTAACTACAATGTTCTAGAACAAATCTAAAATGCGTTTAAACAGATATATCCACGCAACGACACCAATAGCTCGTTGGTTCCTACCATATAGATCCCATAGACGGAAAACCCCGATTACGACGTTGTCTTTAATTTTGGGGATAATGAATTTATGCGTGTATTTGTTAGTATCTAATATATATATATATAACATAAATATATATATATATATATATATAGGATGGACTCTTCCATCACAAAATTCGACGTATAATGTTCCTTTCGACCACGAAAATTATCTGCATGCTTTTGACTGGTATAAACTTTTTTAGACCATCTCGAGAATTGCAAAAAAATACAAACAGTACAGGAGAATATTTATATATATTTATAAGGTATATATATATATATATATATATATTGAACAATAAAAAAAAGGCGCTCAAAAATTAAAATCTTCAGACACTTCTTTCATTTTTTTTTATTCTTTTTCAGATAAATTTCAAAAAGTTTCTAACATGGCCATCATAGGAGGAGAAATATCTCTCACTTGCTGGTAGCAGTGAACTTATATATATATACTTAAACTGTACTAAAAAGCTCAAAGAAAATCGTTGGAAAAAAATTCCTGTAAAAGTTTGATCACTAATTCAAAGGATTTTTTTATTATTTTAACGTTTTTATTGTTGTCAACAAAGTACCTCCTGTATTGTGAAGGTGGACAAAAACGTGTCTTTAAATGTCTTCTTTCTCTCTAAAACTTGTGACAAATGATGGTAAGACGTCTCGCATTTCCTCAGACCAACATATGTATTTACTTTTTTGTCAGAGATACAATCTCCCTATTATCATTTTTTTCGAAAAAAAATGTTGGTCCTAATACGACCAAACAATATTGAAGAGAACCGATCATTCCACGTATGATTTAATTGGTTGTGTTAATTTTAGGGAATATATTAAATAATTAGTTTTATGGTTTTACTAGGAGATGAATAAAAGTACTTGGGTTAACAAAAACTACGGCACCTTCCTTGTTGAATTTCAATTTAACATCAAGAAGCTGGGAACTATAAGGATAATTCTAAAAATAAATAAACATGATTGATCTGGAGATCCTACGCTGCCGAGTGGTCTAAGGCACGTCATATCTAATGATGGTTTACTTTAGGCGACACAGGTTCGAATCCTACCGGAGGACGCATATTTTTCTAACAAGATTTCTCGAAAATTCAAGCCGGTAGATTTAAATGAATAACTATACTGTTTAATAAATAAATAAATAAAAACAGAGAATCTACGTATCCGATTTAAAATAACGTTTAAACAAATAAATTAAAGATATGTTGGATTTAATCCATTTTCTAAACATTTCAGCTGAGTTTGTTACATTCACTTACACGCAAATAACCTTAGTATCCCTCTCTTCTCGACCTAGCTATGGGTTAAATAGCAGGACTGACTAGCAACAAGTTTAGGAGAAGGAAAACTCTGGATTCAAACCAGCCTGGAAAAGAGTTTTTGGTTCCGTCAGACTATCTTGCCCTAGATATACTACTACACTATGGCTACAGTACGGCACAACATGTACAACCTTAATGGGTTACAGAACTCGTGATCGAACAAAAACTTCCAAAAATAATAATAGCTGTTGTTAATAATAATAATAATAATAATAATAATAACACTCTCAACAACACTAACAAACACGGACATACTGTATTGGCCATATTCGGGATTAAGGTTATATCTGCCTCTCGGCAACTTTTTTTATGATTAACCAACTTTAATCTGCAAAAATTTAAATGCAATGTCAATCGCTATCTGTCTTCTTGATTACTCTTTCCTCTTCCCTCTCATTATTAATGTATCTGCCCCAAATTCGTTTCCACCCTGTAATCCCTTGTGCCTTAGAGGCTTTACTGGCTTCATTGAAATGATATCAATTAAAACAAAAATTTACTCCAATCAAGCCGTTAATGCCATTGAGATGCAACGGGCTACTTGAAGCGACATGAAATGAAAAGACTTTAGAATGGACCGGAAACCTAATCCTAAACAGGAAACAAGGGATAAACTCCTAGACCCGTTCAAAAAGACTGGGTTTTTTAAAATCTGGGTTCTTTGTGAATAATGCACAAGATAGGCAAACCTATCTTGCACATTATTTAACATGTGAATATAGTTTCTCTTGATGTGCACCAGATGTCTATAATGATCGATTAATGTTCACACATATATTTACAGGTAAATATATTTATATCCACATATATCATTTTTTTAAAAGGCTCTTTACTCCAATAATATTCCATGACGAGTCTGAGTCAATACTCCAATAAGATTACATATAGAGTCTGAGAAAGCTTCTCTATTTGCACCCCCCCACTCTAAAAAAAAAGAAAAGAAATGTGAATAAATAAAAAAAGACAATGCCTTACTGTAATCGCATGTCTGACTTTCCTTTTATCTGTTATTACACTTTGGTAATTATCTTTTTCTTTAAGAGGAAAAGAAGAAAAAAATTACTCCTGCTCTTTTATATTGAAATAGAGCTTTGTACTTCCACTGATTAACGTCACTTAAATTTCCAAATCTTTTGTCCCGCCCCTGCGTTTAAAAGATCGAATGCTTTTAGGAATTGATTCTGCTAGCGGTATAATTATTAATAATAGTATTTTAATAACTTTATTACCGCGTATAGTAGTCTGAGTTTAATTAATAGTCAGGTTATTTTATCAACATTTGTGTTCATATCGATCTCTCCTCACTGTTATCGCATTGTTTTTCTTGTCTGTATTTTTCTTGCCCCCACTTTTTTTTTCTTTGTTTAATATACATTTTTTTTTATCTTTTAAAGGAGAGCGGGATGTATTCTTACTTTTATGAGATTACATCCCAACAGAATTTCTATTGATTTTTTTTTCTCTTTGTGATTTTTTTCTTCCAACCAGAAAAACTTAGAAATTGGATTGTGTTTTTCCTTACGATCATCTTCCTATTCAGAATCTCTTTGCATATATATATATATATATATATATATATATATATATAAAAGACTAAAGTCATTCATCTCTTTACGTTTTGTGTCTCCATAATGCATATCGATAGTTTTAGGAACTTAATAAAATCTGCAGTCAAAGATTTTATATATATATATATATATATATATATATATATATATATATATATATTCATATATATATATAATATATATATATATATATATATATAATATAATATATATATATATATATAATATATATATATATATATATATATATATAATATATATATATATATATATATATATATATATATATAATATATATAAAATATAATATATATATATATTTATATATATATATATATATATATATATATATATAATATATATATATGATAAAAATATAGTTTTAAGGTACTCATTACGCTATATTTATGGGTAAAATGTTTAATATTAGATTTAAATATAAAAGTAGATACTGTAGTCAGCATCGAGTGGCGACAGTCTGTTTTATGCTTGAAAGCAATCTTAAGGCTTGGAGATTGAGTTCAAAAAATAATCAAACTGAGGCGACTCGAAATTGACCTAGTGTCCACTTTTCTTTTTCACACACACACACACACATATATATATATATATATACATACATATGTACATACATTGTGTATTTGGGCAGTAATCCCACTTTTATACATGTTTCGTTAAAGGCAACTTGCAACGTACGGCGATTAAGCTATTTATTTCATTTTTTTTGGTGTTTTCTTTTGTGGACACAAAGTGTGTCAGAAGTGTGTAGAAATCTTGAACAGTTTTACACAGTTTGTGCCCAGAAAAGAAAACACTTGTACGAACACAAGAAAAATGAAATAAAAAATCTTAATCACTGTACTTTGTCAGTCGTCTTTAACGAAACATTTTTCGTACACACACATATATTTATATACATTTTGTCCTCACCAGTATCGCAACTCTGAGTTTTATGCACAACGCAATCTTCA